TATATATATATATATATATATATATATATATATATATATATATATATATATATATATATATAGTTTTTATATATATAGTATATAGTATATAGTTTTTCTTACTATGTAGAGTTTGGTTCCAAAACGTGAGAAATGCCATTTTTTTAAATATTGAGTTTCCGCCAAAATCATTATTGTATCTGGTCGGTATTGAAAAGTCCATTTTTAATTTTACGCATCTTTCCAAACCGCGACAAACGCCAGTCTCCCTTCTCTGCAGAATGCGATATATCCGCTCAACCAATCACAGCACACCATTCCACGCACTCTAGACAGTAATGGCGGCGCTTTGAATACACCTGGCATCCTAGTTTTTCTCATCTACTTTGCACTTTGTGATCAACAAACAAACAAAAAAATTAGGACTGCACGATAAATCGCATGTGATTGTCATGCGCATCTCGTCAGTAAAGCCGGTTCTGTGATCAGTAGTAAATCTCCATCACGTGCTTTCAGATGGAGCAGCATTTACTACACAGAGCCATAGATCACTGACACTGACAAGCTACGCAATATCATGTTCATAATTGCAGATTAATCGCATTCGATTATGAACGCGATATTGCGTAGCTTGTCAGGGTAAGTGTTTTTATGAATGCCATTCATGTTTTTGTTAATACAGCGTATAGCACTAGTCAATGAAATGAATGTAACACGGCAAAGATGAATGCACTTTTGGAAGTTGAATGTAAGGGAAATCATTTTGGAATTTCTGTGGTCTAATGTGATATTGTTGTTCATGTTCTTGTTCATGATTAAATTTTCTTTTATTGTTGTAATTAATTTATAGCATTAAGAAGATGACCCGTTGAATTCATTTTGGGAGCGATGACTGATTGAATGTATTTTTAGTCCAGTGCCTGCATATAAGATTAGTATTGACCAAGTTCAGAGGCTGTCAAATGTGGATCAACTTACTATGTTGTGTATTTCCAACAGTTTCAATATGAAAAATAACTTTTATATTGATTCAATGGATTTATTGCATTTTGAAAAAAAAAAAAGTGTCAAGGATTTATTGCATTTTGGGGGGGAAATTATCAGTTTTTATAATAATTATTATTAATAATTATTTTTTTAATCTTTGAAAATCAAAATCTGGATTTGAATTTTTAATGTTATTATAACCTAAAGATGTTATGTGAAAGTTTGAAACGGAAAACAGTGGTTTTCATCTTGCCACTTTCTTGGTAAAGAAAACACATTTTTACTCAAATCAATCAAAATGGATCTATAGCGTTTTGGAACCAAACTCTTCATACATATATATGATGTTATGTTAGGGCTGGACGATATGGCCAAAATTTATATCACGATATATTTCTTAATTTCGGTCGATACGATATAATTCCGATATCGATATGAACACTATTAAAAAAGCCTCATAAAAATGGCCAAGAACGGACACAAAAGTTGTCTGTACCTACAAACTTATGAAAAATTAATTTGCCAACTCTATGAAACCTACTCCTATAAAACTATATTAATATTTTTAATTTTATTAAAAAAATGGCGCAAATAAATACATGTTCACCTTTTATTGGTATTTAGCCTTCATACAAACAAGAAATGTGAAATCACTGTCAAATAAATCTCAGACTCTCCGTATTAATATTATTTTTTTACTCCAAACTATAGGCAGTCAATATACCAGTCAAAAGTTTTTGAACAGTAAGATTTTTAATGTTTTTTAAAGAATTATCTTCTGCTCACCAAGCCTGCATTTATTTGATCCAAAATACAGCAAAAACAGTACCATTTTGAAATATTTTTACTATTTAAAATAACTGTTTTCTATTTGAAAATATAATTTATTTCTGTGATTTCAAAGCAGAGCTTTAGCATCATTACTCCAGTCTTCAGTGTCACATAATCCTTCAGAAATCATTCTAATATTCTGATTTGCTGCTCAAAAAACATTTATTATTATGATGTTGAAAACAGCGGAATGTGTTTAAAAATCATATCACCGTTATTGAAAAAAATTATATCGCGATACATATTGATATTGAATTATTGTCCAGCCCTATGTTATGTAAACCGTTGGAATGTATAATATATAAACTCTATATTTGCTACTGTTCAGCTCACGAAAGACTAAATGTGTCCAACGGCATTAATTAGTAGAATTAATTAGACGAATTAGTCGAACGCCACCATTGCATCTTTATTGAAGCCACGTAGATGGCGCTGTGGGATTAGCGTTAACTTGGCTCAACATTGCGCGAAGAAGAAGCCAATGGGGAAGGCAGAACATTTAATTTAAAAACAGCCTTTGTTTTCGTCATTTTAACCTTATGCAGTGATTACGGTACCACAAACAACTATTTTACGTTATTGCTGTTAGACATACACAGTTAGTTGGCCTGATCAGAGCGGTACATGTAAGTGATGGTACAAGTAACGTAATGCATTTTAAAATATTGCCTGTTTATTAGGAGAGACTGTTATTGGCATGTCATAGCACAGAACTAACGTATTATCTTTCTCCTTTTAAGTAACAAACTTCTCCTGTGCAGTCAAATCAGTCCCTGTCTTCATTCTTTGACTCCAGTGACTAGTGACAGGATGCACTCATTATTGAAGAAAGGTCCTCCAGTAAACGAATAAGACTAACGTTAGATGATGGAGCTAAAAGGTGGGCAATGCGTTTTTATTACTTTTGCATTTGGGGGACTGTTGAAACGCATAAATCTACTTAAAAATACAACATTAATTTGATCTTTATAAGGTTAAAGTTTACAAGATTTTGTATTGTTAAGTATTGTTTGAAGTAGTATTTTTATTGTTTATATACCATATTTATGTTTTTGCTTTGATACTTTTTATTTATTTTTTTAATTATTATTAAGCTGGTCTGATTGATTCTCAATGAAAAACTGTCAATATCCTGACAGATGACATTAAAGAAAAGAATAGGTAATATTTCATATACATAATTGTATATATGATAACTGTATGTGTGTGTGTATATATATATATATACAGTGGGGAAAAAAAGTATTTAGTCAGCCACCAATTGTGCAAGTTCTCCCACTTAAAAAGATGTATTATATTTTTATATTTCAAAAAATTATTCATTTTTGCAGTACATCACCACCAAGGAAGGTGAACAAAAACTATGCCAGAGGAATTGTGCCTTTGTTTCCGTACCTCAGTGTCCCCTTCTTCAAAAATGGCTATGTAAGTATCGCACTGTTTTAGTTTTAGTTTTAATGCATTGTTGACAACTTTTAAATGTTTTGATCACATGCCTATAATATAGGTGGTGTATTTTTCTTTTGGATTTTAAAACACTTTTTCTTCTCCTTTTTCTGTATTTTTGTCTTTCTAAGGAGCATTACTATGATGTTGGTAAGAGTGCCACCGGATGCTTGCTATGGAGAATCAAAACTATACAGAGAGGCATTTCTAACGAGGAATATAATTTGAAGGTACAAAATGAAAAGAGAAATGTCATTGTGCCACTTTTCACAGCAGTTTTGTAGCTACTGAGTTGCATTAACTGTGACTAAGGATTAACTTCATATAGCATTCTTTAAGCAGTTGATGATCTTAAAATGTTTGTTGTGTGTGTCTTGTCAAGGCCAGACGAGACCAGGAAAGGTGTCTATGTCTCAAGTAGAGATATCTTCTAGAAGGTTTGTTTTTATTTATTATTTTTTTGAAGTTTTTTTTATTTTATTTACCATATCAGTGATAGTCCTCTGCAATTTTCTTGTTTTTTTTTTCCCAGAGTGGAACAAGCATTGAGGAGCATCTTCAAGGCATTGCTGGAGTTGATGATCTTAAAATGTTTGTTGTGTGTGTCTTGTCAAGGCCAGACGAGACCAGGAAAGGTGTCTATGTCTCAAGTAGAGATATCTTCTAGAAGGTTTGTTTTTATTTATTATTTTTTTGAAGTTTTTTTTATTTTATTTACCATATCAGTGATAGTCCTCTGCAATTTTCTTGTTTTTTTTTTCCCAGAGTGGAACAAGCATTGAGGAGCATCTTCAAGGCATTGCTGGAAGTGCTCAGCCCTGTCTCCTGGCTCTTGGAAGAATTATTAAGTTCACCAGTACTTCAATTTTGATCAGCATGCCATTCCATGCAAGTCAGTCTCTTCTCTTGATGCTTTTGACAAACTGTTTAATGGGGTTAATTTACCCAAATTCTGTCAACATTTACTCACCCTCATGTCGTTCCAAACCTGTAAGACTTTCGTTCATCTTCATAACACCAATGAAGATATTTGAATGAAATCTGAGAGATTTCTGTCCCTACATTGACAGTCCATGCAACTAGCACATTCAAGGCACAGAAAGGTAGTAATGACATTCATTAAAGTAATCCATGTGACTCCACTGGTTTAACCTCAATTTTATGCATGCATTCACACAACGTCTGCTTTCATTTCAACAAAACATTCATCCGTTGTCGTGCTCTCGTGTACGCTTGTCAGAGATGAATATTTTCATAAAGTGGTAAATTTTTTTCTTTTCTTTGCGCAAACAAAGCACTCGTGTTGCTTGATAAAACTGAAGTTAAATCATCAGAGTCACACGGGTTAATTTAATGATGTCTTTAACACCTTTCTGGGTCTTGAAAGTTTTAGTTGTATAGGCTGTCAATGAAAGGATAAAAGTCTGTCAGATTTAATTAAAAATATCTTTATTTGTGTTCCGAAAATGAACAAAAGTCTTATAGAAATGGAATAACATAAGGGTGAGTAATTAACTATAATTCTATTTTTTGGTGAACAAACTTCTTAAGGCACACTTTGTTTTTGGCACCACTTATAACAGTATTCTACACAAGATGTACACTTTTCATTAATTTCATCGCTGAGGTTAAGAGCAAGGCTGCTTAGCTTGTAGGTTCAACAGGTTCTGTACTGAATATAATGATGTATTGTCATTTCATGCAGACGTGATGTATTTTTGTGCATGTATGTGTATGTTTCTTGAGCCTGACAACATTTTTTAATAAATGTTTTAAATGTGACATCGTTGATCTTGTTTTCTATTTTGTTTTTAAAACACCAAATGGGTTTTAAAATTAGTTAATTTTATAATTTAAATTTAAATTATATAATTTTCACTATTACAAATGTAAATTAACTCCACATAAGTGAAATATTAACACTAATCAGAGTAAATTTTCCTGCAGAGTTAAATTGTGGTAACACAGAACAGAGTTAATTTCCCCTAGTGTTAAACTCTGGTAACACTATTCAGTGTTGAGCAGTGTTAATTTTTTACTCAAAATAGAGTTAATTTAACTCTGAAAATGTAACACTATGACAAGAGTCAATTTATCACCAATTCTGAGTGGGACCAAATACACTCGGGCCGAGTGTTAAATTCAACTCTTATAGAGTTCATTTAACACTGCAAAATTTACTGTGTACCCTACATTTAATGATGACAATTTTCATTTTTGGATGAAAATCCCTATAACAAAACCATCCCAACAAAATTCATCACATGCTCTTTATTGCTGTATTTTACAAGTGGTAAATTTAAAGTAATCCATGTGACTCCACTGGTTTAACCTCAATTTTATGCATGCATTCGCACAACGTCTGCTTTCATTTCAACAAAACATTCATCCGTTGTCGTGCTCTCATGTACGCTTATCAGAGATTAATATTTTCATAAAGTGGTAAATTATTATTTTTTTCTTTGCGCAAACAAAGCACTTGTGTTGCTTAATAAAACTGAAGTTAAATCACCAGAGTCACACAGGTTAATTTAATGATGTCTTTAACACCTTTCTGGGCCTTGAAAGTTTTAGCTGTATAGACTGTCAATGAAAGGATAAAAGTCTGTCAGATTTCATTAAAAATATCTTTATTTGTGTTCTGAAAATTAACAAAAGTCTTATAGAAATGGAATGGCATAATGGTGAGTAATTAAGGATAATTCTATTTTTTGGTGAACAAACTTCTTAAGGCACACTTTGTTTTTGGCACCACTTATAACACTATTCTACACAAGATGTACACTTTCATTCAGACCACTGTGTACAACAAAGATGTTGGCAAAGTGAAGGTCCTTGTATCGCTGAGGTTAAGAGCAAGGCTGCTTAGCTAGTAAGTTCAACAGGTTCTGTACTGAATATAATGATGTATTGTCATTTCATGCAGACGTGATGTATTTTTGTGCATGTATGTGTAGTTTCTTGAGCCTGACAAAATTTTTTAATAAATGTTTTAAATGTGACGTTGTTGATCTTGTTTTCTATTCTGTTTTTAAAACACCAATTGGGTTTTAAAATTAGATAATTTTTCACTATTATAAATGTAAATTAACTCTACATAAGTGAAATATTAACACTAATCAGAGTAAATTTTCCTGCAGAGTTAAATTGTGGTAACACAGAACAGAGTTAATTTCCCCTAGTGTTAAACTCTGGTAACACTATTCAGTGTTGAGCAGTGTTAATTTTTTACTCAAAATCGAGTTAATTTAACTCTGAAAATGTAACACTATGACAAGAGTCAATTTATCACCAATTCTGAGTGGGACCAAATACACTCGGGCCGAGCGTTAAATTCAACTCTTATAGAGTTCATTTAACACTGCAAAATTTACTGTGTACCATGCCAAAATCGGATACTTAGTGTGAGGATCAACACTAATATTGATGCTTGCCTTAGCAAGCAGCACTAATTACCAGACCACTTCAGATTCCAGGAAGTACATGACACAGAGCTGGATGAGGTCATGTGTTAGCATACTGCAGTCATTCAATGCCTGGAATGTGGAACGAGTCGGCCGTGTCAAAAACGACTATTAGCAGCACGGGAGGGCCGAGGGTAGTCACCCTCTCGACCCCCGTCTAATCAAACAGCCTTCTTTTATGGTTACTGCTCTTCGGCTCGACGTTAACCACCCACACGGTCAGAATTCCACTGCCACCATGGCTTTCTAAGGACAAAAGGGGAATTTTCTGATCAAAAAACCTTTACACAGCTTTCTGGCTACGTAATATTACAATATTTTGGAAGTTAAAAAGAGGCTTGTGCATTGTTCCAAAAAGAAACAGAATGAGATCTTTGCTTGGCAGCCTGACAGAAATACAGCACCATTACCGTTTTAGGCCAGCGGTTTCCCAACGCACACAGAGAACAGAAATGCTATTAAAGCACCAGAATGCTGCTAATAAATAAGAGCTAATGGCACTATGCACCGACTGTCCTCAAGAGCCCTTCTGTTTGAGAAAGTAAGGAGGGAGCAGTACAATTCATATAGAGACACCATTTTTACACCCGGGGAGGCTGATACAGATCACGCAAAATCAAAGTGCTCCTCCTCCTCAACAAACATCACTCTATTCAGAGGAATTAGATCTTAAACCTGAAAGAATGTTTTGTTTGCTGAAGATTAGAGGTTATACGAGTGCAATCTGGGGTCAGGTCCTGCAAAACAGAAATATCAAATGTTTTGGTTGGTTATGCCAAACATTTATCAGGCCCACTTGACATGACTCTTAGGTCAAGTGGTTCTAATGGGCCACATGCTCTCAGGTCGTGAAGCAGGCTGTGAGACACACGTCCATCACCTGTTGAGGAGCTCTCCGGCCCCCTGCTTTCTGTGCAACAGCTGCACCGCTAATGAACTCAACTCGGCTGTCTAAACTGAACCTGTCTCACACGCTGACAACTGGGCTGCCCCTGTGGACTGGACCCCAAGCTTCAGCGGACTGAGAAGATCTCCTGCAGTGCAACGATACAGATCAGTTGGACTGGATGATGTTTGATTTAATTGCCTATTATATTAAATGATTATAAAAAAAAATATTATGAAAGGCTCTCATTTATTGCACAACAAAGGCCTTTGGATGTTCACAGGACATGGGATTATTAGAATCACTGAGCCTGGATTCCTGAAATCCTCAGTCCCTGTCTACTCCGACAATGTGAATGAATTTCCGGAAAGCGTGGCATTTGATTACAGTCACAGTAAACAGTGAACTCTAGTAAACAGTGAACAGCTAAGAGAAAAACTAGGCTATACACCACAAAATAGGTTTCCGTCTGCATATTTGTATGCAAATTTGCCATACTGCATACATTTGATGGGTGGAAACACCAAAGTGCAATTCAAATTTCCAAAATGTGCATGAAAAGCATATGCTCACTTGAGGTACAACCTTTTGTTGGTTTAGCAAGAAGATATGAGCATATACACAATGTTTTCCAAGACAAGGTCTCACCCTCCATTATTGATGATTGTCTCATACAGTTCAGGGGAAACAAGAATCAGCTATCTTTAATTTATGGAAGGTTACCAACAGCTATTTTCTTCTCTACAAACTTGATCAGAGAGGAATGGGCGCAAGAGATTAGAATTGCAATCTCGGAGGAGATTTGGCAGAGTGGTTTGGAGGATATTGATAAACGATCGGTCAATACTAGATTATGCCTTATTTAATTTAAGGTCTTACATAGACTACATTTTAAAAAATATATATATTTTTTTCCCAATTTCTCCTCTTCGTGACAAGGGCAAATCAGAGGATGCTGACTTAGCTCATAGTTTTATTTTCTGTCATAAAATGCACGGATTCTGGTGTGAAGTTTTTAAAGTGCTTTCAGATGTCCTTGATGTACACTTGGAACCAGACCCAGTGCTCATTATATTAGGACATTCTGATTATACATATTTATTTAACGGTGCACAACAGAAATTCCTTACATATTGTTTGATAACAGCCAAGAAACTGTTATTACTGTTCTGTAAAAAGGCTAATCCTTCTGCTGTCAAACTATGGCTTGAGGAACTGATATGTACTCTACACCTGGAACAAACCAGATATATCTTAAAAGGCAGCACTGGACAATTTCACAAGATTTGGGACCTTTCTTCTGTTACCTCGGTTGGAATTATATTCCTTAAAGGGGTCATATGACGCTACTAAAAAGAACATTATGTTGTGTATTTGGTGTAATGAAATGTGTTTATGTGGTTTAAGGTTAAAAAACACATTATTTTCCACATAATGTACATTATTGTTTCTCCTCTATGCCCCGCCTTTCTGAAACGCGTCGATTTTTACAAAGCTCATCGTTCTGAAAAGCGAGGTGAGCTCTGATTGGCCAGCTATCCATTGCGTTGTGATTGGCTGAATACCTCAAGCGTGTGACGGAAATGTTACGCCCCTTAACATACTGTGATGCCATCTCCCGACACGACGAGACAAAACCAATAAAACCCATTACAAACGAGGCATTTGTTGCATACAGTGGGGACATAATTACTGATTATAATGACTTATACTGTGTTTTTACGCATTGCGTTGCGTCGTCCAC